GCGTTCGATAAAAAAAAAAAACTGCCAGGGATCGTCACTCAACATCGCGCCCCGGGAGTGCCTTTTCACAATGCCGACCACCCAACCCAGCCACCCACCTTCCCCCCCCCCTCCTCCCCCTATCCCCCATCCTTCTTTCTCCCCTTCCTTCCTCCATATTTGGCCTATATGATCTCTATGATCCATATGGTCCATATGATCTCCACTGCATGCATGCCTACCAGCGCTCCGTGGAGGCGTCCTACCCGGGCTTAGAGGCCCTGTTTTATATAGAGACCGTCCAGGATGGCCCGACCAGTACCTCGCAGCGGACGAGCGCGCCGGCCTGCAGGCGAAGAAGGACGAGCAGCCGCACAATACGGCACGTAGCTATGCGGCAAAACAGCGGGAGTGGAAAGTACGGCGGGCGTATTCCTGTTCTTCCTACCTACTAACCAGTTGCCCTTGATATAGAAGTGGTGCCTCACGCCGCGTGTGGCCGAGGACGGCTCGGCTTATACCTGGCCAGACGGGGAGCTTGTAACCCCGGATAAGCTAGCCGCGTGGCTGAAAGAGGATATCCTCCTACGGCGGGTAAAAGTGCCGGCGGTACGGCCTAATAAGCCGCGCGGCGCGTTCCGCCGGCGGGCGAAGACGGCGACGGATGCCGACGATGATGCCGAGGCTGCGGCCTTGGCCGAGGCCCAGGTTCTGACGGAGACCATAAAAGTACCGCTAGAAGAGGCGGTGCAACTCCTTGCGGATGACAGAGAAGATTACAACCCGCCGGCTACCTTTGCGCCTGTGGGGGAAGAAGACAAGGCCGCCGTCGAGGGTACCCTGTTAACGAGGAGCACCGCAGACGCCTATGTCGCAGCCGTTCTCGAGCTCTGGAGGCTGCAGGTTGCACATGGGAACCCTAACGTTGAGAACCCTCGCGGCGCGGCCGTACGCGGGTTCCTCGAACAGTGCGGCCGGCAGCGCGGCCGCCTCGACCGGGAGACCTTCCAAGACCGCGGCGCCGATGGGATCCAGGCCGGTTACTCGCCCGAAGAGTGGCTGCGAGTGCAGACCACCGTGTTAGGCGGAACGGCCCAGACGCCGCAGAACCTGCGCACCCGCGTCGACCTCCTTTTTGGTCATTACTACCTTCTCCGAGGCGAAAACCGCCGTAAGATGGAGCTGGCCGACCTCTCCCTGCTGGACTACCCGGCTTCCGAAGGCCCGACCCCGTGCGGCTGCCTTGTCAGCCTCCTCCGAGACGGGAAGATGAACAAGACGGCGAGGAAGGAGTTCATGGGCTCGCTCCGCCACAAAAACCCACTGCTCTGCACGCAGGGCGCCCTTGCACAGCTCTTCTTTTGGCGGTGGCATATCGCTGGCGAAGACCCGCCTTCCTTTCGGCGCCGACAGGATTGGTATAGGATCAAAGTCCTCGTCGGGCGGGACCGCGAACAAGAACTCTCGTACCCGGCGCAGCTGCAAGAGACTTGGCGCATCTTCGGGGCAGCCGGTATAACCGCCGCCAAAAAGACGCACCTTCCGCGCCGGACCGGTGCGCAAGATGCCGAGACGCACGGCTCATCTCTCGCTCAGATTTCGCAGGCCGGCCGTTGGAACCAGAGCGTCCTCGTGAAGGCCTATCTCACCCACCTCCCCCGCGAATTCATGCGAGTCGTCGCCGGCTTTTCGGCCAAGGCAGGCGACTACTTCATCGCCCGCGCGGCCCACGAGCCGCCGGCTGCTCTCCAGAAGCAGCTTTGGCCTTGGATCGAGGAGTGGGAGCCCCGTTTCGCGGCCCGGGCGTGCCGAAAGCGCTGGGCGGAAGGCGGCCTCGACGAAGACGACTTAGCCGCGGACGGCTTCCTTAAACTGATGCGGCGGCTGCGAACCGTCTTGTTGCAGGACCTGGCCGCCTTGCAGCCCCGTTTCCCCTCGCTTCCCTTCTTTGCGCACCCCCCCTTTTTCGGGCCCGAGTGGGACGGATTCGTCCTGGCGGTACGGTCCGACGCAAGCGCAAGCGAGCCGCCGAACCTGCTTCTACAGCGGGCTTTGCCCGAGATCAGTGCCGCTTTCGAGAGCTCCCGCGACGCAGTCTTGCATAATAGCGACCGGCTGATCGGCGGTCTAGAACGCCGGCTAGATGACCAGTTCAAGCGTCTTGATAGCCGGCTCAACAGCTTCCAAGAGAGCCTAGACGCCCTCGTCCAAGGCCGGCTCCCCATCACTGTTACGGGATACCTTAGACCGCTACCGCCGCTAGAAGGGCACCCGGGTGGGCCGGCTGTCTCGGATGCGTTGGGTGCCCCGGTCCCCCCGGTCCCCCCGGCCCTAGCTGTCCGACCCGAGCCGAGCCCGCCTATTTTTACGGCTTTGACGAAGGCCTATACGGTAAATGATGTGTGGAGGGACTGGAAAGAGGGAGTGGCCGGCCGGCCGGCTGTACAGGAGCTAGAGGAACGGTGGGGGAGCCGGTGGCGCCCGGGCAGCAAGATTCGGGTCCAATTCTGTCGTCGGAAGGTTATTTGGGACAAGATTTTCACGCTCGTGGCGCGCGGCCAAAACGAGGACGAGGCTGTCGCGGAGTTGGAGCGGCTGCGGGCGGGCCGCAGTCTTAACCAGCTTGTAGACGTCCTGCTGAAGCAGCGCCGCCGAAGGAAGGCCGGGAAGGCCGGGGCGTCCTAATAAACGGGGCAGAGAGCCGGAGGCGCTTTCTGACGCCTTCGGAGCTGTCTTCTGTTTTCCTTTTTTTTTTTCCCTTTTCTTCTCACTCATCCACTACATACATATATAGCCGTAGCCGTACCGGAAACAAAAATTGAATCGACTTGGTGTATAACTATGCAGCCTCTGTATTCGTCTTCGTCCTGTATTCGCCCTTCAATTGCCTTCTCGGCTTTCGTTCGCCCGGGCCTGGCTAGAGGGGAAAAAAGGGGCCCGGGGAAAAGGAAGGGGGTTGAGAAATCGCTGCCGATTGTAGGAAATCACTCAGCAAAACCGACCTACGATAAGTTCTGCTTATCAATGTCAAGGCATGGGTCAAGGAAAATCCCGTGGATCCGGAATGTATGTATTGATGAGTCTGTTGATTGTTGTTGGTGCCGCTCGCTATATACTAACACGCACACACATCTATCTATATATCGTTAACGACAACAGTCTCCCTTTGAGATACCTCTTACCACCATGTCCACGACTCATTGTGACGAAAGCAGCGAAAACAGAGAAAACAGAAAAAACACCGACGCCAACTACATGTAGATAACCATTATTGCCCCCGCTCAATCACCTCTTTCCTCTGCCTGGCCAAGTCTGTCAATCGCAAGGGAAGGGATCATGCACTGGGCAGTCGTCGCGCACCAGGCCGAAACGACCGATCTCCCGGCAGAGCATGCAGTCCGGCGGCGGGTAGGAGGCCGGGAACACGGCATATCCGGGAGGTCGGAGAAGCCACGAGTGTGGCGGGAGCCCGTTGCCGTCGGCCCAGTCCGCCTCATGTTCCCCGGTGGGTAGCAGGGGGCAAGTGCAGGAGCTGTGGATGGCCTTGTACCACGATAGGGTGATGGGGCACCACAAAACGGGCGGGGGGGCTCTTGCTGGAAGGCGAAACCGGTACCACGACGAGGCCTAGGTGTCCAGCTGGGGCGCCAAACGGGATACCGGCGGGGGCGCTGGCACGCCCGGAACCGGTGGCTGATCCTCCTCGGCCGGTGGGAGTTTGCGCCAGTGGTAGCCGGCAGGCGCTGTTGGTACGCGATGGAGTTTCGCGCACGTGGGGAAAAAAAAGGGCCAAACAGAAAGCCGGAAGGTCCGGTATGGGGTCTAACGGCAGGTAGTAGATCTGGGAACCCGCGATGGGTAGCGCCAGGATGGAAGGCGGCCGGGGGTAGGAGTGGGGGGCTGGAGGATGTGGCGGCGCGCGAAGGGGAAGGGGGTTGAGGAAGCCTAAGGGGGACGGATCCCCGCGAGGGGTTGGTGGCCGGCCGAAGAAAAGGCCATCAAGCAAGAAGGATGGCAGGATGTCGGACCCGGGAGTCGGAATACGGAATACTAGGAGAAGAGGAAGGAGATGGAAAGGCGGGCATTGCGAGTTGGGCAAACGACATTTGGTATAGGTGGGGTGCCTAAGTTTTCGAGGGAAGAAAGGTGAATCCGGGGTCGCTGTTTGTGGGGGAGAAGAATGGGACAGGCCGCCGAGCTCAAGAGGAAGGGCAGCAGTACGTATATAAGTACGCTAGCAAGAGTCATGACTCTCCGATGGGCTGTAGGTCAGCGGTAACCCCAGATCTGTGCGTGGTTGAGTGCGGGGGAGGCCGGGCAAGCCCGGAGGTGCGAGTACATACCTACCTAGTACCTACCTATCTACCTAGGTATTCATCCTCATCGCTGATCGTTGGTGTCAGTTCAGCATCCGATCCATCATCGAAGGAGGGGTATGATGTTAAGTACCGAAACAGGCTTCTGGGATATGGGTGGGTGCGGCGGTTAGTTGACGCAGTACAGTCTGTGACTTGGATTTCACAACGATAATACTCATTCGCTCTCAACTCTGAAGTACACACACACACACACACACACACAATTTATTCCGCCCGGCGGGCCTAACCCGAAAGGGCAACTATCATGCAATCTACTAATACATATCCTAAAATGGATCCTGATCTCATGAAATATACAAAAGACAGTCGCTAGCGAAATCGGCTTCCGCTTTTCTCTTTCACATCTTTCTGTCGCACGGACCATTTATGCATCTAACCATCCACACCGTGTGCCCTCGCACGCGCTCGTGTACACGCTGTGTTACGATGATTGTAAGCCAACCGGGAACTGTTAGTCAACCTGGCACAGTAGAGACCGAAATCAGTGTCCAGATTTTCAATGTTCAAAGATTGTCAGTCAGGCCAGTTTTGGAAGTGATTGTGACTCACTCAGTGCGTGGCAGCCCACAGCATAGAGTGACCAGTGAGCTGCGAAGCTGGCTGCAGCTGAAATGTCGCAAGCACAAAATGCATTAACTAGCCGTTTTAGGCGCCGTTGGACGTGCGAAGTTGTATACGAATCATAAAAATATGGTTATATACATACATAACCTTAGGTGAAGGTGACAACCCGATAGATATAGTATTGTGCACTTGCAGGGTCGGTGACAATATGTCACGGTTATGGTCGCATAACCAAGCGGGACCTCGCTGGGAGCGGCATCGGCTAATCAGGGACGGATCGTGAAGAGAATTCACCATCCCAGAGTCACCAGTCAGAACAGGATCGTTAGATAGATAAGACGATCCAGGAGCATAGGTACGAAGGTACCTAGAGGCCGAGATAGTATATAGTCACTCGTTCTGGAGAGCTCTGGGAGTTCTCCAGTTAGCAAATCACAACTACAGTTCGCTACAAGCTCGAGAGCCTACTGTCGAGACAAGTCTTTGTTGTGCACCTTTTGGCTGCACCGAACCTAAGCACCCTTGAGAGAATACCTTCAACCGAAGCTGAACCCTAACAGGACGGGTCCAGAGACAGGTTCGTCACACAATACCTTTAAAAAAAGGAAAAAGGAAAAAGAAAACCGGTATCTAGCTACTCCACTTGGCTACAGTGGCCAAGGACGACCGAGTGTATGGATGGTCTGCGCCAAGGATTCGCTGCTGAGCCTGAGCACAGTCCTCTATCAATGCCAAAGCATCTGTGTGTCGACCTTGACCTTTCCAAGTAAACGCAAGGTTGTTCATGCTCGTCAGCGTGTCTGGGTGGTCGGCCCCGAGCTTGGTCTTGCTCGTCTCCATCACCTGCACAAACAGCTTCTCGGCCTCCTCCCACCGGCCCTGGTTCCTGTATGTCGATGCCAAGTTGTTCATGCTCGTCAGCGTGTCTGGGTGGTCGGCCCCGAGCTTGGTCTTGCGAGTCTCCATTACCTGCACGTCCAGCTTCTCGGCCTCCTCCCACCGGCCCTGGTTCCTGTATGTCGATGCCAGGTTGGCCATGCTCATCAGCGTGTCTGGGTGGTCGGCCCCGAGCTTGGTCTTGCTCGTCTCCATCACCTGCACAAACAGCTTCTCGGCCTCCTCCCACCGGCCCTGGTTCCTGTATGTCGATGCCAAGTTGGCCATGCTCATCAGCGTGGAAGGGTGGTCGGCCCCGAGCTTGGTCTTGCGAGTCTCCATCACCTGCACAAACAGCTTCTCGGCCTCCTCCCACTGGCCGCGGTCCATTTGGACCAGAGCAAATAGTGATATACTCGCAAGAGTCGCCATATTCTCTGCACCCAACTTTTTCTTGCGAACATTTCTCGCCTTGCCTAGCATCTGCTCTGCAACTTCATATCTCCCTTGCGACCATGCATACCATCCCCCGTTATGCAAAAGTGTCGCCCATATTTCGACTGTCTCTTCGCTGGGTTGGTAACCAAGGGCCACTTGAACGTGCGCGAAGAGACTCCAGCACTTCACCCAATTCTCGTACTCCCCTGTCGGGAATGACGCTGCCATTTGCTCGATAAACTGCTGCTTGAACGTTTCCTGCTTCCGAAACGTTTCCAGCCACTTCCTCATCGACAGCTGCACGAGCCCATGCATCTCAAACTGGTCCCCCGCCTCATTCACGACGATAAGATAGTAGTCCCGTAATATTGCCACATCGTCTTCGAACCGACCGTCCATCTCGTCATCGCTGCTGTCGAATCCCGAGTCTTCTGCATCTTCGGAACCACTTGCTCGAGTTGCGGTTTTGGTCTGCTTAGAGGACTTGAGGAGCGACTCCGGAATGCCTTGTCGATCAAAAAAGCTCATAAGCGAAAGGAGATCCGCCGCAGAAGGCCGCTCGGACCGAATATGGTCAAAAGATATCTGCCATGTCGTGAGAATCGCGTTCGACGCGCCTCCATCCCGACGTTAGTTCCCAGCATCATGCTCTAAAAGCCTGCTCCTTTTGCGCTCAGACTCCTGGCACTCAGAAAAGGTACTTCTCGAGAGAGCTTCGCGGTGCCCTTGCCTGTATGTAGGCGGCAGCCTGGCTGATGGCTAGCGGAATAAAGTCGAGCGCGCGTACAAGCTTGGCTGCCGCATCGGTATTCAGGATTGATCCCAGCTTCCTCTCCAGGAGCGTGAGGGCGTCCATCTGCACCATCGGTCCGACCTCGATGATGTTTTGGCGGCGTCCGGTCAGCCTGGAAGCCAGGTCCTTATTGCGTGTTGTGATGATGATCGACCCGTTTCGACTCTGTGGTAGGAAGTCTGCAAATGGTTTCCTGTTGCATACGTTGTCGCTACTGTAGAATACATTGCGGTCGTCGGCGCTGTCAAGGATTATGATCCATCTGCCGTTCCGCTCGTTGGACAGCCAGCCGTAGACAAGCTGTGGGATGTCGGCCCCGGGCTGGTTTCGGCCTGGTAGCTTGACGTCGTCGGCAATCTTTCTGAAACCCTCTTCGACACGCGCCTGCGTGCCGGCGTGGACCCAAAATACCCATCTGTCAAGATGCCCCGCGGCGATCCGGTGCGCATATTCAATGGCCAACTGCGATTTGCCGACACCGCCCAGGCCCACGAGGGCCACACGGCCGGCCAGCTCGGAACAGCGCTCGTCGATTTGATCGAGAATGTCTCCACGGTTGACGAAATCGGGGTCGCGGGAGAAGGGGATGGTCGCGAAGGGAATCGGCGGCGTTTCCCGTCTTTCTGAGATCTGAACATTAGTGGGGCATCCCATCGGGCTTCTGCACGGTGCCACGGTAATCTTACCCGGCGGGGGGAACTCGATCGACCCATAATTGTACCCCACCTGGAGACCATGGTGGTTGGACCCGAAAGACGCAGACATTTGTGCCATCGTTGGCGATCGAGTCGATTGATTGTCCATATACACTTACAGTACTGTAGAACAGTCAGCTGTTGGTATGATGTTTCGCTGTCAGGGTGGTTTTGCGGCTGAACTTCTTCACTCTCAGCTGCCCTCCAGCCACAGCCAGTGTGGCGTAGCGTAGCTCACGACTCAGACACGGACGACCACACAGCATCAGATCACCGCCGCATATATATGGCTCCGCAAAACTACTTATATGACTCTCGGGTTGTCCTCTTTTAGCCAACGCTACGTATATAATCACATTCTTAGTTATCCCTACTGTGTAAGCCCACTGCCTGACAAACAGCGACACGGAGACCGTACCCGCATCGTCCGAAATGCGGCGACGGCAGACGACGGGCGGGCCGGCAGTCGAGCAGCAGCAGCTAGAACCATCGTCATCCAGCACTTGGTCAAGGAAGCCAGACGTGCCCTCTCTTATCTATTAACCTAACCGTTGATGGAAGAGCCGGGTTCGGCTTATTATTCGACCACGGTCATCGTAATAACAGCCATTTCTGGCTGACAGTCCAGGTTGGCTGAAGGTCATCCATCGTAAAACTACGTTGTTGCATTACCATGTATATCCTGCCTGGTATGTACAGTCAATGTGTGCGAGGGCACACGGTGTGGCTGGTTAGATGCATAAACGGTCCGTGCGCCAGAAAGATGTGTGAAAGCAAAGCGGAAGCCGGTTTCGCTAGTTAACTAGTGACTGTATAATCATCCTTTTCCTTCTTGACCTCTCGCGGTGACCCCTGAGCTGCTTCTTTGGCTCAAGACCCAGGGTTAGGGTCAATTTGTCTCTCTTACTACAACCTGGCAGCTCAGCCCGAGCAACAAAGCACGAACCGAACGCAGGCAGCCAGCCTCGAGAGACAATTGTCCGCGACATTGCTCACCTCGCCACCACGATTACGGATTGTGATACCTCCACCGTGCAGCTGCCGTCCCCAATGGGCCGCCCGACGTCATAATTAGCACCGCGGCCACACCAATTGCGCAAAGTTGAAACGAAACACCCATCCTCCGAAAACCAACCCCCAAACAAACAACCCAACCTTTCAATAATAATAAACAAAAAAAGAAAGAAAAAAAATGGCGACCCAACTCCCCCCAAACATCGACCTTCACCGCCATCCCCTCCTCCGCCGGCCCTCTTTCTCCTCCACCGCCAACCACAGCCACCAATCCCCCCGCCCAACCACCACAACCAGCCCACCCCTACCCACTCCAGCAACCCCCTCCCCCTCCTCAACAACAGCCTACACCCTCCCCCAAATCCGCACCATCCACGCCGCGCTCCAGCGCCAAGCAGGCGACGCCGCCGGGCGTCTGCGCACCCAAGTCGGCGGCTCGTACCGCGAGCTGCTGGGCACGGCGACACCATCGTCGCCATGCGCGCCGACATGGATGCGGTGCTGCTGGGGCTGGGGGGCATGTGGGCACGGTTGTTGGGCCGGGGGTAGTGCTCCGGGAAAGTGCGCGG